GAGTGGAGCAGAGCGGGGGTCGGGCTGCGGCTGCGGGACGCCGCTGGGCCCGAGCGCGGGGACAGGTGCGTGGACGCCCCTCTCCCTGGACCCGCCCGAGGCTTTGCAAGTGTCCCGGGCGGACTCCGGGTTCCCCCCCTGAAGTGGGCCGGGCTCCGGGAAGGGTGGGCACGGCAATGCTGGAGGTACCGGGTTGCGGTGCAGCCAGCGGCAGGGCTGTCATCTCAGACTTCCCGGGGAAACTGAGGCAGTAGGGCGCTCCGCGAGCAGCTGGCTGTGGGGACCGCTCGCTGACAGCAGCCACGCGGGATGGGACCGAGCGCCGTGTGCTCCACGGTGTCTCGGGCGTGCTGTGGAGATCCCTGCCCTCCCTGCAGCGCGAGCCGGTCGAGCCGGCTGTGATGCTGCTCGTTCTCCAGAAGGGAAACGCAAGTTAATGCAGTATTAACCAACTTGTTCGAATTCCCACGCGGGGCTGCAGGCGGGGCTTTAAACTCCAGATTGGGGCCGCTGCCTCTGCCTGTGCCCGACTGTCAGATTTCGTATTCTGCCCTGCTCAGCACAGCTGTCTGGACCCTTTGGGATTTACGTGTTTTCTTTTTTAAATTCTCCCCTGTCCTGTAAGAAGAAAAAAAATCTTCCTTGACCTCGGGTAAACCCTGTTGGGCGGGAGAAGCAAGGCGTGGACTTTTCTTGGCACAGCCTCCTTTTCCTCCTCTGATCTCCACATTTCTTTTCTCAGGCACGAGCGTGCTCCCCCTGTGGTGTGGCCATTCTGGACCGGAAGTTGGTCGCCGAGAGCCGAATTTTTATGATACAGAACTTTTCCCCTCAGGTGCGATGCTCACTGATCTCTGGTGTCAGCTGATTGCTTATGCAGGTGCAGCTGTTTTGAGGCTAAACAGTTACTGGAACAAATCCACGTGGGGATTGCAGAGTCCAAGTGTTTCCCTTAGAGAACATTGTTAACTGAAAGTGATCTGTACATTTTAAGAAAAGAATCTAGTGCTAGGTGAGAAATAACACATAGCTAAAATAATTAAAAAATGTATAAGAAAGTTTTTAAAAATTATAAAAAAGCAACCTTGTACCCATACATATAATATGTATCACACTAAGTAAGCTTGTGCTACAGCTGGAGAAATGGTCAGTGATTAAGCATGTTTGCTGATCTTTCACAAGAGCAGAGTTTGGTTCTCAGCACCTACGTGAGGTGCCTCCTGACCACCTGTAACTCTAGGCCGGGGTGGGGGTCTCATGCCCTAGTATGCATATTGCACATATGTGCATACATAGTCATAAATAAATAATAAAAATTATGTCTTCATCCTCTCAGGAATTGCTCAGTTATTAACAAAGTGCAATAATTATTTGTTGCATGCTGGCGTTCACCTGTTCGTTCTTACAAATGAGTATTCATGGCAGTTTTGCGCAGGAATCTGAAGGGTACAGACGTTGTATCCTTGTATGTTCAGGAAATACTGGTTTCCAAATGTTGACTTTTTCCCTCTGTAGGCAGGGCGGCTTAACAGAGACATAAACACAGCAGACCAGATGAGGGAGCGCTCCACGACCACGCTGGAGTGTTTCTGCAGTGACTTTGAGCACTAGTCTGTCCGTTCTTTTGATCCCCAGTTACTGAGCAGAGTCCTGTAGAGAGCAGCACTTTCAGGATGCTTCCTTGAGTCGTACTTATTTCTTACAGCACATGAATTGGACCTTGCACGCGGTGACATGGATGAATCTTCAGTGATGCTCAGCACGATAGACGTTTCTTACCTGCCCAGTTCATCAGAGTACAGCCTTGGCCGATGTAAACATACCAGTGAGGACTGGGTGAGCTTAAACTACACCTTCAGAACAGTTCCCCTGAACCATGAGCCTGTCTCAAGTAAAGATTAATCATTTCAGAAACTGCTTCCTGCTGTGGGAACTCCTTCAGCCGTTAGAAGTGTGTTTTCGCAGTCTAAGAATAATTTAAAATTTTTACGACTATTCATTGGGAGAAAAACCTGGGTGGAAAATTTCAAAATGGTGATCACTTTACATACAAAGCAGATCCCGGAGGCATCAACAGTGGCCGTCGTGTTGGGTGGCGTGCTTGTAAGTTCTTTTTCTTTCAGTCCCCACGCCACAACTTATATTGGGTAAACGTGAATTTTATTATGGAAGCAAACTCTAAAAGCATTAAAAATAGGAAGATTGCTTATTAAACTAATTGAAAGAGCATACATTTTCTTATGTTACAATTTCAAATTAACATAGAATGTTTCAAATATCTCAACACAAATTTATAACAGTATTTTATTTATTTATCTTTGTTGTTGTTTTTGTTTTTTTGAGATGTGGTTTCTCTGTGTACTCTTGGCTTTCCTGGAACTCACTCTACAGATCAGGCTGGCCAAACTCTGAGAAATCCATCTGCCTCTGCCTCCCGAGTGCTGTAATTAAAGGTGTGCAACACCAATGCCTGGCATATTTGGTTATGTTTAAGATTGCTTTATTAGTGTTATTATTTTATCTCTCAAAGTTAAGGAGAAATCTGAACACACTTGAACGGGGTTTAATTCGTGTCTCTACCTTTTAGTGCTTTGATAACAATGTCACTAAGTGTACTTTGTTTTTCCTCTGAAGTATCGTAAGAACTGCTCACTGTGTCTGACCTTCATAGTTTTCTTCTAGGGATGTTTTGGAAGGGCATAAGGTTGACTGAGCTAGGGATTCAGGAGTCTGATTTCTTCACCCCACGGTCACAAGTTCTTTTGACCTTTGCAACTTTGGGTTACTATTCTACTCTCTGCTTCTCTGAGATAGACATTTTCAACTTACCTGTGTAAGAACGGCAGTGGTTGCCTTTGTGTCCTGGCTGTTGTTAACATAATGAACTCCAGGCTTCTTTGGCTTTCATCCTTTTTTGTGACTGAATAACATCCCACTGGGTAATATGTATGTTGTGTTTTTATCCATTTGTCCTCTGGTGAACACCAGAACTGTGCTAAAACCTGTGAGTGCTGCATCGAGCATGCAGCAGCTGTTACAAACTATAGTTTTAGGAAACCAACCTTTTCTTATTAACAAACTTTTCCCAAGTGATTGTGGAACAAAGTGCTTTACATAGAAACACTCAAGGCACATGTAAGTGTACTGCCCAAAGAGACAGCACAGTTTTCTTTGTTATCTGAAATATCTTAATTTTAGAGACCAAGAAGATGAGAACAAGTCTTTTGCCATTTAGATACAATTTCTCTCTTACACTTATCAGGGTGACTGTGGGTTCAAACCCACGTTCTTCAGATCCGCGACATTAAAATGGAAGGAGAGTCTCCTGAGCCGGAAGAGGCCCTTCGTGGGAAGGTGCTGCTACTCCTGCACGCCCCAGAGCTGGGTAAGGACGCCCCTGCTCACACAGAGGGATGCAGTTTTGTGGATTTTGGTTTTGGGTCTGAATGGATTTGACTCTTGCAGAGCCAAGTCAAACGTTTCCGGTAAAGAAATGGAGTTACTTCATTTATTCAGTAATGCTCATCTACAGTGAGGGGGAGAGCAGATTTTACTTTGAGTTAACAGCCATAGAGTTGATGGTGTGCTCAGTACCTGGTAGGTGCTGACTTTTAGCCCCCAAGAATGTTCTTGGTTTTTGTTATTTTGTTGAGAAGAGCCGACTGGGTGAAAGGTGAGCTGCCAATGGCGTTTGGTGCAGGGGTGAGGTAGCAACCATAGAATTTTTTTCCCACTCCTCTAAGGCGAGAGTTATGTTTTGAAAGGTTGTATTAGCTTTTAAGCTGTTCTTGGGATGGACCAAATATTCAGGACTCAGAAGTTGTTTACAGAGGGTGGTAGTTACTCGTGTGAGTGGCTGGCTGTGCTGGGTGCCTTCTCCACTGGAGGCTGAGTGGGCAGAAGGTTCAGTTCTGCCTGCATAAAGGGCTTTATTACCATTGGTGAGATTTAGGCCCAGCCTTTGCAGTTCCTGTTCAGTGTTGAGGTCTGCTCAAGAATGGCTTGTTAGAGGTGTGCCTTGCAAACTGTAAGGCTGTAATGCAGGAATTCGCTACAACTGAAGGCAGGACAACTGCCAGTCCAGGAGTGAGGCCAATTCACATTTAGAGGGCAGTGGAAACAAAATTTAAATAGCAGGCCACGTATGTTTTCTTTTTAGATTGACCTCTCACCTACTTCTAATTTTGAATGCAAGGTAATACCTTAACTACAGTTCTACACCAAGCAGTATTGCAGCTGCAGAGCTACAGTGTATTATCAGTCAGCGAGACTATGGCTTGGGGTTGGGTGGATATATTCTAACAGGCTGTTGCTTTTTGTGTCAAGGTAGTAATGGATGGGACTACATTCATCTTGACTTTCTTCCACGCTCATTTAAAGTAATCTGTTAGTACGTTTTTATGGTTCTTGATATTTGACATCTAGTCTTTGAAACCCCAGTTTTTTATAAAAGAATTTCATTGCAGTAATTGTTACATCTTGTTGACACATTTTTCCTTTGCATTTATTTTTGGACTTTTACTGTTTTGCTCACAGTGTTAAAGGGGTAGACTATCTTTTCCAGATCTCTGGTCTAGAGAGTGGTAGATACACTTTTAGGTGACCATGAGGTGCTCAGCTGTTTTACAGAATGGGAATATCTGAGATTGAATGCTCAAGTTGTAGCAATCTCAATTTTCTTACCCATACAATGGGTAATTTTCATGTGTCTTGTGAGCTGAGTGGTTAATAAACAGTAACTGATATTTAGGATAATAGTTTGCATTTGGGGAAGACTGAAATCGGTGCCTTTGTGGCTGAAGCTGATTGTAGGTCCCCACTCTGTAGGGGAGAGAGCAGTGGTGGGAAAGGGATACCGTGGAGGTTTCAAAGTTAACCTTCAGTTAGTGACAATCTTTAAAGTAGAAAAAGTACTATTGAACAATCTGTATTTTCTTCTTCTATAAGTTTAGAAGCAGCAATTGCTACTGTTATGCTTGAAGTTTGAATGTCTTCTAGAGACATTACTGGGATTCATGACCTTCAACCCAGCTGCGAATTCACGTCTACATTCATTTTGTTTTTATAGGAAAGGTTTTTCAACCCCAGTATCCCATCTCTGGGTTTGCGGAATGTTATTTATATCAATGAAACTCACACAAGGTAAAAAGACATTTTTTATACTTCTAATAAGTCTTAGAAGTAAAACTCTTTAATGGTAATTGCATACTTTAAGATGTACCTGTGGTGTCTAGAGTGAGCAGAATGAGCCTTTGACACAAGTGAGCTCATCTAAAGATTGGAAGCAGGACGGCCATTGGAGGCCATCACGGTAGTTGCTGCTCTCCTGTCTGTCACCTGTGGTACTCTTTAACACATGTAGATACTGACTTTTGCTATGCAGTAGGAAGTATTTCTTTGACAGGAGATGTAGGTTTGCATGTCTTATGATACATTGTAGCTATTTCATAAGTCAAAACCATATAAATGGGACCCATGAGATGGCTTAGCTTGTTGACTTCCTGAGTGAGTGTCAGCTCCCGAGTCATCTCAGGCTGCCATGTGTGCTCGCATGTATGCAGACATACACCAACACAGGAATGAAAAAATAAGACAAGTGATTGACGTCTCCCCACTCTGTAGAGACCTCTTTAGTAAGCACCCCCTTTTATGAGCAAGCGTCTGCTGTACAGACGGTGAGTTTCATTGTGTTTTCATGTTGTCAGTCTCTGTACTGTGCTCAGATTCACTGTTTACCTTTGACTTTTCTCCCTCCTGTTGGTCCCTGCTTGCAGTAAATGTTCTTTGACTTGTATAGCGAAGATAATTAAAAAAAAAAAAAGGAGTTCTGAATTCTGAATTCTAGTACATAGGGACCTGGCAAGTGCCAGGGACAAAGGGGCCTTTGCGTTATATAAGGGAAAGTTAGAAAAATGTGTCTGCCAAGCAAGAGAGACAGCAGCCAAAGCCACCACCAGTCCTTGTGGTTCCAAGAACAGATGCCCGAAGGTGGCAAGCAGTGTTCTGGGGTGAGCAATGCTTGAAGTTCTAGAAAGGTGGTCCAAGAAGGCAGAGCGTGGCTTTGGTTCTCGATGGCACTGCTTTGAACTAGATGAAGAGGGTCCTGGGTGAGAGTAGCCAGACCCACTTGTGTGGTCAAGTTTGCCTTGGTAATAGAACCAGAGTCCAAATTCAAGCATTTCCTTTCCATTTCTCAGGTTCCTCTCTGTCTCCTTCATTTAAATTTAAAGTGGAGAGGAGAGACTGATTCATGAAATTAGTTTTTTATTTCCTGTTTCTTAGTAGACATGACTGTGATCCTAAGTAAATAAACTGTTTCATCTTTATGTAAATAGACATTTTACCTATGAAGGTATAATTTTTGTCTGTTATCCCTAATTGGAGCAGTTTTTAAGATATTTTAAAAGGTGTCGGCTATATTGACCTGATGGTAGCTCAGACAAGTTGCCTGTGCAGCTTCTTGTGTGTTAAATGACAAAGGCTCAAAGCTTTTGTAAGCACAGGTGTGCACTGTCTGCGGCACGAGCTCGGGCCATTCGCACACATTTGCATGCGCTCTCACTCTCTCACTCTCTCACGTTCTCGGGTGCTCGCTCACACTTCCACACCACACACATCCATGTCTTCAGAGAACACTCAGACTTCTGCCCTTGTCGTCATCTGAAATGCTCACTGCAGAGGGCTTGGGAGAGTGCAGCACCGGGAGCTCACCTTTCAGAAGCCGGTGACAGGAGAGGAAGAGTCAGGCGACAGGAGAAGTTGTTCACGGACACTTCCACTCCTTGCCTTTTCCGAGTTGTTGACCTGTTTAATCTGCTGTTGGTGTCGCACGGAGGAAACAACATTGTTGCTTTCGGTCATTGTCATACATTGTTTCAAATCATTACACAGTGAGAGTCATAGCACCTGCTCTGATGTGCGTCTCCGTGTCCCCAGCTCATCAGCACATGGTGGCCGTCACTTCTACCAGTGTTTACAGTGGAAAGAGGGAGGCACTCAGATGCTGGATGTCTGACTTGATTAGCTTTTAATTCACTGTGAGACTCAGTGATTATGTTGGAAGAATGCTTACATACGAAAAAAAATATAGCTCTTTGTGTTTGGAAGAGGCCTCCAACTTTCCTCTTTGTAGACTATGGCTGTAGCTCCAAGCTATCCCCACCTCTGTCCCCAGCTCATACATAGCTAATGAGTAACACTCCCTTGCTTGTCTTTGTAGTGCTATTGATTAAGTCAGATGTCTCTTCTGTTTTCAGATTGGGATTGCTAGTCAGAAAAACAAGACAATCTAAGCATCGATAAACAATTTCCAAGTTTCAGTTTTCCCTGAGAATCTATGAAAGTAATGAGCCAGACAGCTGCATAGCATTCTGACCTCTAGGGCCGCTGGCTGAAATAAGTGACCCAAGTGTTCTCTGTGGAAAATCTCTGTGTAGTGGAGTGTGAGGACTTGCTGAGAAGTTTGTGTGTGTGTGTGTTGCAGGCACCGAGGATGGCTGGCAAGACGTCTTTCTTACATCCTTTTTGTTCAAGAACGGGACGTCCATAAGGGCATGTTTGCGACCAATATCACAGAAAACGTCCTGGACAGCAGCAGGTGAGGCGGGGCACTGTTGAGAAGGTGGGGCAGACTGTGTGTGGCAGTGGGAGGAGAGGGAGTTCAGCCTCTTCTGTGATTTCTCTGCTTTTCTCTCTAGGGAATGCTTGCATTTCTGAACAGTGAGTGTTAAGCCACAAAAGAAGTTGAGGGAATCAGGAGAGTGGAGTGTGGTGGAGGGTGCTGTATAGGCAGACGGACAGTCCTGTTTGGTGGACTGTGTGTTGGAGGGTGCCGGGTAGACAGACGGACAGTCCTGTCTGATGGACTGTGGCCTGAATAGTCTCCTAGAATGTGAAAGTCATGTCATGAGTTAGAGGTGTGTGCACACGTGCCTAGGGTTGCTCACCAGTTTTCTATAGTATGAATACTGGGAACAACTCATTTTCCATTTCGATAGACCAAAGCACTTGGTATTTTGTATAATGGTTTTTGCGTGCATACGGCCAAGCCCTTGTAGTAGGAATAAAATTTTTTGCTCTCAGAGAAAATGTTTACCCGTGAGGGAGGCTGACCTCAGCAGACTATGAAGAAAAAGGGCCACACACCTTCATTAATGTGTAGCAGCCCCCAGGAGAGTGATTGCCCAATGCAGCTAAAAACTGGAGTAGTTGGGGAGGAAAAGGAAACGAGAGGATTTAGGGGATTTTGAGGGGTAAATAGCTGCAGGGGATTATGAATGAGCTGGGGAAAACAGTATCAGGGACAGAGTTCTTCTCTCGGAGGGAGATAGATGAACCATGGGACTTCGCTGGCGACAGAGTGATTAACTTGCTCAGATAGCTGGGAGCCTTCTTTGGAAGCCTAGTGACATCGCCCTGACACTGCTGGGACTTCCAGTCCTGACCCAGCAGCCTTCCTACCTGCTGAATGGGGTTCTAGGAGTTTCAGAGAGCCCCTCCCAATGCCTTAGCTCAGGGGAGACCACAGAGAACTAGGAAGTCTGAGACAGTTTCGAAGGCCTCCCATTTACCTGTATTTAAAGTTCAACTTGCTCCATACTTTGTGGGGTGGTTTTCTGAGCCACTAAAGGTAGGAACTCGGGTGAGAGTTCTCTGCTTCGCCTCTTGGGTGTGGCCCACCTGAGTATAGCTGGAGACCAGAGATGGGGTGACTGAAAGCTTAGAGTTCATAGTCTGTAGCCGTGTCCAACCCCAATGGTGCTGGCTCATAGTACTTAGGAAAACATGTTAAATGTGAGTAGTTGACAGTAACGATACGATGTTAGCTACCAGGGAAACATCCTAGGCTCCTGCAGTAAATGCCGTCTAGTTGGAACCTCCAGGTAGCAAGGGTGGTGGAGCTATCTGCTGGGATGAGCTTTCCCTTCGGCACATTCCCTGTCACTGTGTTGATTTCGATCCTGAGCTCTGCCTTTGTAAAATGACTGGAAAGCAGAAGTAAATAGTTCCGTCCATTTTAATGCTTCTCAGAGAGTTCTCCGTGCTCCAGTGTTGTGACAACACAAACAATGGCAGATTATGATTTCTGAAGGAAAGTCATACACTACTTTGACTTTTTAGTGGACGTTTGTTTTACTTTCTTCATTATATTGGATCGCACAAAGCCATTTTCACGAAGTCTGCGTTTTCTTTGAGTACATTCTCCATCGTGGGCAGTGTACACATGTCCTTTTTCCTTATCGCTAGCAGTCACTCAGAGGATCTGAGTAAAATCATTAGGTCTGTCCAGATTTATAAGGGATTCTTTGCCTTAGGAATGTGTTGCCCATTTTTATATTATTATTGTTATTTATGTGTATCTGAGTATGTGTCTGAGCAGGAGGAGGCCATAGGGTGACCAGTCCACTAGAAGTGGAAGTACAGGCGATTGTGAGGTGCCTGGTGTGGGTGCTGGGGATCACACTCAGGTCCCCTGCAAGAGCAGTGTATACTCTTGACCGCTGAGCCATCTCTCAGCCCTGGCTGTCAGTTTTGATAGACAACAAAGGCTAACGGCCCTAACTTGAACTTTCTCTTTTGCTACTATACTACTTCTTCAAGAGAACTTGCATTTTCTGCATATTAAAGACATTGGACCTTTTATTCTGTTTTCCCATCCTATTCATTTACAGCCACAGTTTAGAAAATACCAAATGTGTCCAGTAACATACGATCAGATTTATTATAAGTCTGAATTTTACTTTCAAATCAGAGTCCAAGAGGCAATTGCTGAAGTGGCTGCTGAGTTGAACCCAGATGGATCTGCCCAGCAGCAGTCTAAAGCCATCCAGAAAGTGAAAAAGAAAGCCAGGAAGATTCTGCAGGAAATGGTTGCTACTGTCTCCCCAGGGATGATCAGGTATTTAGGGGAATGGATGGCTTGAGGCCAAAGCCGGTGTCTCTCTATCAAGTTAGTTATAATTATTGGATCTTCCTTTGCTAGTTCAAGAAGAACATGTGAACAGAACATGTGGGCAAAGATGTTGATGTATTTCAGTGTGAAATCTGCTTACTCAAATGTCAAATAGCATGACAAAGGCTTCGATCTGCCTTTGTCCCCGCTGATTGGTAGCAGCCACTGTATTATGGGTGTCGTCTATTCTCCCCAAATGGCAGAGTCTAGTGTCTTACAGGGAGTGGTTGCCTGTGTTAGAAGGATTCTTTTGCTCACTAATTTAGTATGACCTTTGCCGGACCGAGTGCTTTCAGAGGAAAATGTGTTCACGGTCCACAGCGAGAACATACTGTGTGAGCAGTGTCTGTATACATTAGAATACCCATTCATCAGTCCAGATACCTAAGTGCACACACATTAAGTCATTTGCAAGTGCTTTTAGGATGTAGACTCAAGCCAGGGGAGGCAAAAGTGAACTGTATCCAGATTTATGACATACGCATGTTTATCTGTGTTTGTATGGATGCCAATGTTTTTATTTCTTTCAGGCTGACTGGCTGGGTGCTGCTAAAGCTCTTCAACAGTTTCTTCTGGAACATTCAGATTCACAAGGGTCAGCTTGAGATGGTTAAAGCTGCAACCGAGGTAAGGATATCTGTTCCACCCTCCGTCTCCCCCGAGTGTGTGATGTGCTGTTAGAGCTCCTTCAGAGAGTCTCCCCTGTGCTGTCGGGGTTCTGAAGGCTTTTGGGAGCATCCCACTTTGTGATAACTGCAGTACCATTTCGGGAGACAAACAGGGCCTATCAAAAATGTATAGGGTTGCTTTTCTAAGTTACCTGGGGACAACCCTGAACACCAGGTCACGTAATACCTGTTTTATACACAGGGAGATGGAGGTGTAGGTGATAGGAAACATTAACCCAAGTCACAGATAGTAAGTAATTTTCTTAGTGTTTTAAACCAAGCCTGGCTCCAAAAAGCTCTGCTCATTTTCCGTAACGAAGACTGCGTCTCAGAAGAGGTGTGGTCAGCTTGAACTTGTTGATTCTTCCCCCACTAATTGCTGTTGTTGTCGCAGTGGATCTTATATCTGGATATGTAGGCACTGGAGAATCACCAGAGCATGTTTGTAGAGAGTGGGTCATTGATTAGCCAGTGATGAGTGACCGTAACCAAATGCAGTGGCAAGGTGGGACCGACTGCTATCACCTGAGCTTTAAGGTTGGCCCTCCCTCTCCCTAGACGAATCTGCCGCTCTTGTTCCTGCCGGTGCATCGATCCCACATCGACTACCTGCTGCTCACCTTCATTCTCTTCTGCCATAACATCAAGGCGCCGTACATCGCCTCGGGCAATAACCTCAACATCCCCATCTTCAGGTGAGGTCAGCTTCCTTTGAGGTTCAAGGTATTAAAAGGATTGTTCTGTCTGACATGTTGGACATGCCTTTAGTATAGTGTTCAAGAGGCTGAGGCAGGTGGATTTCTGAATTCTAGGCTGTCTTGGTGCACATTGCAGGTTACTGGTCTGCCAGGGCTGTATAGTGAGTCTCTGTTTCTTTTTTTTAAGGAATGGTTTGAATTTGGAATTTGTTTTGTTATCTTTGATACATGTTATAAAACTGGCATTAGCCCTTTTTTATTAAAAAACCAATGCTTCCTTATGTAGCCTTTGACTAGTATACACTGTCCCTCACTGTATTTCTGTGTATAGGCTGTATGGTGGACTGTACTTAGGGAAACTTCAGAAGCAGGTTCATCAGGTGGATGGACGGCTTTTGGAAAGTAGTGAAGCAGGGTATGGTACCAGCCCTGTCAGAAGAGGCTTAGGTGCTGGCACTGTGGTAGATAAAGGCTGGCGAGACTGACCCTGCTGTTTTCTTGACCTCACGATGGAGAGATTCCGATGCAACCCAGGAGGTGTTTCTCTGCATTCCCAGAGGATGCTGTGCATTCTACTCAAAGGCAGGGACTCAAGAGCAAGGTGGTGGGAACATTGTGGGTGGGCAAGCAGGTAAGTTGGCAGCTCCGGGAAAGGCCAGAGGCTGGAGGGGCAGCTGCACAGATAGTGAGGGCTAGTTCAAGAGCCGCTCTGAGCGAGGGTTGGCTTCTGTCCTGGCTTTGAGCACTGATCTGGTCAGACCTGTATGTTGAGTGGCCATTCTGGGATTGAGGAAATTAGTTTCGATTCTGTTGTGAGAGTTCTGGCAAATGATGAGGGCTGACATCAGAAGTATAGCTGTGTTCTTGGGGAGGAGGGCAGAGGCTCACTAAAGGAATTAGTGAACTAAGTTCCCAAGAGTCAGGTCTTGTCCAGATGTGGGGCTTGGACGAGGGTGTAGGAGACTGGATCTGCTCTACTAAGTCTGCTCGCTGATGAGCCAGCGGGACTGGGTGGAACTGAGAAACGGAACTTTAACTCCGAGCAGCACAGAACACTGAGACCAGCTCTTGATCTGATGTGACTTAGGAGGGTGAACACAGAGAAACTGTAGGGAGAGTTGGTGGCCTGGCAGGTGGAGCCTTCTACAGTGGCACCCAGAGTCCTGGCCTTGGCCTTGTGGTGCAGGGTGCTCTGTCCTGGTTCCCACAGTGCTGCAGCCAGCCAGCCAGATGTCATCAGCAGAAGCCAGTGGGATTTATTCTAATGAACATCAAGCAAACATGGACAAGACACATACAGTCCTCGCTATCAATAGCTTGTCATGTAATGGGAGCCAGACAAACAGCCCGCCTCCAGGAGAAACATGCTTTCCTTTCCCAGGGACTAGAACGGACTGTGTGATGCTCCAGGGTGTCTGTTCCCAGCACCCAGGGACAGAGAAGCTAAATTAGAACATTATCAACAAGGTTGACTGGGAAGATCGTACAGTTGGTAAACTGCTTGTAGGCTTGAGGATCTGAGGTGGGAAAAAGTGTGGGTGTGGTGTCTGCTTGTGATCTTAGTGTTGGGACAGGCGGAGCCTTGGGCTTCTCTGGGCAGTCAGCCTAGCCTGTTTGTCAGGTTCCAGGCCGGTTAGAGACCCAGTCTCAAACTGTAGATAGTTCTTGGTTAATGACACTCGTGGTTGTGAACTGGGCTCACATGCACCTACACGTACACATTCACACACACACACACACACACACACACACACACACACACAGACAGACAGACACAGACACACAGGGAGGCCTGGTCTCAGAGCTAAGGTGTCTCTTCTGCCAGTGCTCTCCTGGGGTCAGGCAGCAGCCCGTGTACTCATTCCTCCTCATCTCGTTCTCGTGAGGCCTTTTATTAAGGGTCAGTGTTGATAATTTCTTGTAACTGAGCGTCTCCTTTCAGGAGCTCATGCCAGCCTTTGCTCGGCTTGCCTTTCCTTCAGATACAGCCGATGTAGACAAACTTGTCTGTCCGCAGTTCTCTTTCGCCACGTTTACGTCTCCACAGTGACAGCACATCTCAGGGTACACTGTCTCTCACTGAATTTATTCTGAGAATTTCAGAGTGATTTCGCACTTCACCCACATCTCACCCTGACTTCCATATACAGATTATAAAGGAGGCCAGAGTACGTTAACATTTTAATATAACTTGGCTACTCACACCAGTGTGAACACTAATGTCTGTTTACACCAGTGTGAGCACTAAGATCTGTTTACACCAGTGTGAACGCTAATGTCTGTTTGCACCAATGTGAGCACTAATATCTGTTTACACCAGTGTGAACACTAATGTCTGTTTGCACCAGTGTGAACGCTAATGTCTGTTTATACCAGTGTGAACGCCAATGTCTGTTTACACCAGTGTGAACGCTAATGTCTGTTTACACCAGTGTGAATACTAACATCTGTTTGAAAACAATTTCTCCATTTGAGGCTGTACATTCAGGAAATCTGACAAACTTTCAGCTTCATATCTAAATTTATCAGCGTTGCAGAAAGAGTCTTGGGGTTGGCAGCAGAATTGTTTTATTTCTGTGTGTGCAAATGAACCTAGGCTTTGGTTTTTTAAACATACAGGTTGGAAGAGGGGATCAATGCCCTGGAATTATAGTTACAGAGGGTTCTAAGCTGTCCCATGTTGGTGCTGGGCATTGAACACAGGTCCTCTGAAAGAGCAGCCAGTGCTCTTAACTGCTGAGCTGTCTCTAGCCCCTGTTTCCTGTTTTGTAAAGATGCGTATATTTGGTTTTGGTTTGATAAGGTTATTCTTACCACAGGGACCTGCATTCGAGAGGATTTTCCTTAAAGAACATTTGCTCACTTTGCAAATTTGTTTGCTTTTGTGTATGTGACCCATTTGTGTTTAATTTTTTTAAGAGTTATTTCTTTCATGTGTATGAATGTTTTGCCTGCATGTACTTATAATCATCACTTGTGTGCCTGGTGCCCACGGAGTTCAGAAAAGCATGTCAGATCCCCTGGAACTGGAGTTACAGATGGTTGTGAACCACCATGTGGGTGGTGGGAATTGAACCAGGGTCCTTAGCCAGAAGCCAGTGCTCTTAATTCCTGAACTATCTGTCCAGGCTGTGAGCCATTTAGTTTAACCAGGACCAGCCATCTGTGTGACCACTGGATGGGACCGTCCATTAGAGCCTGGAGGATTCCCATCTGTGTGACCACTAGATAGAACTGTCCACTGGAGTCTGGAGGACTCCCATCTGTGTGAGCACTGGCTGGAACTGGCTACTGGAACCTAGAGGACTCCCATCTGTGTGAGCACTGGACAGAACTAGCCAATGGAGCCTGGAGAACTCCCATCTACATGACCACTGAACAGAACTGTCCACTGGAGCCTGGAAGATTCCCATCTGTGTGAGCACTGGACAGAGCTGTCCACTGGAGCCTAGAGGACTCACCAGTGGATACATATCTGAAGGCAGTGACTCTCTACTTTTAAATTTAGAAGCATTCCAAAATCTTCAAAACTGTGTCATAACCTTTGAGGGTGATGTCAAATCAGAACTCTTTTTTGGCTTAGAAATTAGCAGCTACTCCAGAGGCTGAGGTGAAGGATGTGGACGGCATTCAGAATGAGCTCTGCATTTCCACTGCCAACATTCGAAGGACGTGGGACTTCTATCTGCATGGACAGTGCTGTGGGGTAGCTCGACGTTTGAGTCTTTACATGTGTCCTTAAAAGTAATTCGTGCATTCTCTCATTGTAGCACCTTGATTCACAAGCTTGGGGGCTTCTTCATAAGAAGGAGGCTTGATGAAACCCCAGATGGACGCAAAGACATTCTTTATAGAGCGCTGCTTCATGGGGTGCGTATGGCCTTTAATTTCTCTCAGCGCTGTAGTGTTAGCCATCACAGAGAGTGATGGAGCTGTGTTGGAACTAGGATTTTTACAAATTTGTTCTTTGATTTGAGAGATGATTGGACAGAGATGAGTGATTTATTATTATTATTATTATTATTATTATTATTATTATTATTATTATTTTTGTAATCTGCCCAGTACGGCCTCTGCAGTTCTGGATAAGGGGAAATGATTAGTTAGTGGTGACGTTCCATTTTCCCCTGTTTCGTCTTAAGATTCTTCTGTTCTGAGCTCACCTGCACTGCGAGGCCCTAGCTCACGTCTGACTCTCTCCTCTCTCAGCACATAGTTGAGCTGCTCCGGCAGCAGCAGTTCCTGGAGATCTTCCTGGAAGGCACGCGCTCCCGGAGCGGGAAGACCTCCTGTGCTCGGGCAGGGCTGCTGTCGGTGATAGTGGACACTCTGTCCTCCAACACCATCCCTGACATCCTTGTCATTCCTGTGGGCATCTCCTACGACCGGATAATCGAAGGCCACTACAACGGTGAACAGCTGGTAAGGAGCCAGCGCGCACAAGGCCGTCTTCGCCTTTCAAGCTTTGCTTTTATATTGAATGGTTAGTGTTAGATCAGAGTGGCATTTTGCTAACATGGCTTTTCTTATTGCTTATCTGAAACCTGCCTGAATGGGCATGGTGAGCTGCCTTCATCATGCCTGTCAGCTTGTGAGTGAGTCTCTTGGAGAAGTATGTGGTCTCATCTGTCAGTGCTGACAGGTGGAAAGCCACTTGCCAATGAGCTGTGATCTCCACTGTGTGGGCAGTGTGGGTGTCCATGCTCTACTCTCTGAGGTCTGTGGCTTGATTCTGAGCGAATTTCAGTGAATCCTGAAGACCAGCTGGGTCACGTTGGCTGAGCAACTGCACACTGATAGGAGAAATGGGAGTAATCTTTTCAGAAGACCTTTGCCAAAGGATGCACAGGTCATGGCACTGAGATTGGATATCAGAAAGTCACCACCTATGTACCTAGCACCCAGAGGGCGGAGTGACGTCAGGCCCCAGAAATCTTCCCACGCCCTTCCTGTTAGCTTCCTCCAGGAGAGTCACTTGCCCAGCTTCTTGCAGAGAGATTGGTTTTCTGCATTGCTGAACTTTATATAATAATAATGATAATAATTAATAATGATAATGTATGCGGTTCTTTTGTATCTGATTACCTGTAAGCAGACACTTGTGAGGCCCAGCCTTGAATACGGTTCAGACCCCACAGGGGAGATGTTCCACTGTGTGAATAGATCACCCACATGGCTCTTCAGTTTCAGCGCATTTCTCCTGGAGCCCTCTGGGTTCACTGTGGATTGTGTGTGTTGAGGAAGGGAGGTGCTGGCTGTAATCTAAGGGTACTTGGTTTGTAAGCACTGCCCGTCCATCAGGCATATACCCAGATGGCTTCGCTAGCCGACCACTCTGACCAGCAGTGTGCAGGTGCCAGAGGGGCCGGTTTTGTTGACTTAGTGTGGAAGTCTTGGGCAAAGCATGTGCTTCAAAGTTTGTGCTCCAGTGTGTCAGAAGTTGAAGGGTTCCTGGCTGTTGGAGGATTTAAAGATAGGGGACTGATGACTCTCGGCAATTTGGGCCATCATTGTGTGTGCCTTGTGGGATGACTTGTTAAGCAAATACTTTATAAGTGTCTGATTAGTGGGAAGGCCACCGTGAGACTGGCTGGCATCCCCCACCTTGGAGAGCAGTTTTCGGGATATTATGTCATTTTGTCCTTCACTGTTCCGAGCTGTATCTTTGTGAATTGAGGGAACGCAGTCTCAATGTGCTCACATTACATTTTTCTCTTTGCTCAGTTTCCTCCCCTGAACAACACGGCTGCATCTCTAAGCATCCTTGAATACTAGGCACTTTTTGTCAGGTTTCAGGTGAAGCAGTCAGGCCTGTCCAATCTGCGCCTGTGGGTCACATGATCCCAGGGTAGCTGTGAATGTAGCTTGACCCACTTAGAGTCAGAAGGTTGACAACCCTGGCTGCCAGTCACTCACTTTTCATTCTGTACATATCATTCTTCTCAAGGTAGAACTCAAATTTCTATGAAAAAATTATTCTAAGCAAGGCATAGTGTCTCATGGCTGTCTCTGAACAGTTGCAAGGGAGTGGAGCGGGGCTGGAGGATTGCAGGTTTGGATAGCATAGTAAGACTGTCTCAGAAGAAACAGCATCACACCAGAGCACCCTCCCCTTCACTGCTGTATTTAGGGCAAGCCCAAGAAGAATGAGAGTCTTTGGAGCGTGGCGAGAGGTGTCATCAGGATGCTGCGGAAGAACTACGGATACGTCAGGGTGGACTTTGCACAGCCATTTTCCTTGAAGGTGAGAGTCTGTGGAATCCCTGGCCTGAAGCTTGTTCTGCAGTTCCTCTTAACTGCTGAAGACGAAAATACAGTTTATACGTTGTTATGAAGGGTTTCTTCTTTCCTTTTCATTTTTCCAGGAATATTTAGAAAGCCAAAGTCAGAAACCTGTGTCTGCTCCCCTTTCTCTGGAGCAAGCACTGTTACCAGCTATCCTTCCTACAAGGTAGGGTGTTCAGCCCCTGTGCTAGCTCACCTGTCCGGAAACTCTCCTTCCTGCATTGTATGGGACAGTAGGTTAGCGTTAGTAGGAGCATGCTCCTTCTTGTTCCTGTCCTCAGTGCCGTGACAGCCCTCTTGATTTGATAAAGATGTGGGAATGCTTGCGCTTGCACACTCTCATTCTCTCTCTCTGTCCTCTCTCTCTCTCTCTCTCTCTGAAGACTTTGTCTAATTTTGTGTTGAGCCTTTTTGTGACTCTTGTTAGATATACCTGATATATATACCTGAGCTGAATTTATTTGGGAGTCGCTTGGGTTATGCATATTGTGAGTAAGATTTATAAAAGAGTGTTTGATAGTAATTGAATTTTCCAGAACTGAAAATAGAGTGTAATTTAGAGCCCTTCCTTTATAGTAGGTAAGATGTTGAGTTTTCAGATGTTCTAAAACATGGTCTCTTGCTTCTTGCATGCTTTCTGTCAGTGGGTTTGGAAGTGATATATTAATAGACTGTTTAGTCATTAATAAATAAAGTATTCCGTCTGAAAAAATGCATTAGGCTCTACATTGTAGAGGAAAACAATCCAGAGGAATTATCTATTTATAATTTAAATTTAAAATATATGGTGATCAGAGCTATTCATACATTTAGAAGTTCTGTGTAGGGAATTTTAGCTAGCCTGGGCAACAGAATGAGGTGCTATCTCAAAATAAATTAATTAATTAATTAAAAATAAAGTTGAAGTGTAGAAGATTGATTTTACAAATCTTTTTAGACCGAATGATGCTGCTGCTGAAAGTCAAGACACATCCAGTAACGAGTCCAGAAACACAGTAGACGAAGCCTTCCGAAGAAGACTGATTGCGAATCTGGGCGAGCACATTCTCTTCAGTAAGTAGAGCGCCACCCTTGCCCACAGGTCACAGGGCATGTGCAGTCGTGTAGGCCGTGCAGGTTGGAAGTCGGCTCAAGTTAGTTTCTCTTGAGTCAGTCACCTATTCCATAGGTTATGGTAGGCAAGAACCTGGAAAGAATGACAGCGAGGAGTGGGTGGGTGTCTGAAAAATACCCAGAATACCGGAGGGAGTCTGATAGGAAGGTCCTTGTGCAGCAATTCTCATGGCTCTTAAAACAGATTTGTCAGGATGGTTATCGATCCTTTGCTCATAACTAGCCTAAACTATTGTATGGCATGATATCTGGGCTTATGTTGGGTGTCTCTTTCTCCTCTAGCCCCATGCAGATTTTAATTCAGTAAATGTCGATGACTACCCATCCTGCAGCTGTTTCAGCTGTGGGGGTGCAGATGAACCCCCAGTGACAACTTCTGCTTTTATCCTGGGATAGTTGTGCACAAATAGTGCATCCAGACTAGCTCTAAGCAGAGGGTGAGCCGGCCACCTTCAAACTGTCCTTAAATTCCAAGTTGCAGCATTCTGCTCTTGAAGCCCTGAGCATAGCACTGTCTTGCTCTGGGGCTCAGCTCTTGTTGGTTCTCCTTTCCGTTTCCTGGGTCACTTCTGGTCGGATTCTCATCACTCCCGGCGAGCGCTGTTGTAGAGGGTTCCTTCCTTCAGCTCGAGTCTCCCATTATCCCACTATGGCTGCTGCTTTTTCTACTTGACTTGACTCCTAGCCAGAAGATTGTGTGTGTGTGTGTGTGTGTGTGTGTGTGTGTGTGTGTGTGTGTGTGGTATGTGGATGGAATTGTGGACCTCACACACTCTAAGCAGGTGTCTACCCATGAGCCAGGCTCCCAGCCCGGAGAACTCTTCTTAAGAACATGTGACTGTATCCCACATCTCAGATATGGATGCCGAAGCAGATTCTTCTTAATTGTCAAAGGAAGGTAGAAGTGGAATAAGTAAGAGAAGCCACCTTCTGGTAATCAGTGCTGCTGGTGGCTAGTCTCTAAAAATACTTTCTGGCCTTGAAGTATTTTCTATTTATTCCATATTTATTGGTGTTTTAAAGTTTTTCATAAATATTTTTCCTGATGGCTGTTAAATGATGCTGGATACATTGCAAACACTGGAGGCAGCTGTAATTGCAAGTGAAGTATTTCTAAACGCACTGTCGTTTCAGAGACTCGCAAATGGCATCTCTGTTTCATAGTTCTCTAGATGATGATAATTTTCTACAAACTCAAAGAGCCGGGCTCCAAAGCATAGGTGTGTTCTAAATGTATCTCCGTGTCTCCTCCCTGCTTCTCTGGGCCACAGTGAAGAGAAAATGCAAGCGTATTGAGCATCCCTGCTCGGAGTGTCTACCAGGCCTTCAGCCTGTTTCCTGCAGCCCAGTGAATGTCTCCATGGTTTAAAAATGGAGACTCCAGAGTTTGGGAATTCTCTCAAAATCAGGACATCAATTAGTGTAAAAGTTAGAATTTGAGCCCTAATTTTGTGACTTCAAGTCTACTGTTCCCTCGCTCTTGTACTTTCATTTTTACACATGGAGACACAGAAGAGGGAAATAGGCCATAGCCCACAGCGTGCCAACACAATGGGGAGGGTTAGAGTTCTAGATGTGCCTATGTTTTGGGTCTTGGTATTTCAGAAAAAACCCTTCATTTAGTGACCTAACCTCACTGGTCTGTCATAGAATATGTCTCATGGCTAGTGGTTGCTGAGAGGCTCCATTGTACCAGAACACTGGCAAATCCAGTTGTATTTTCATTGTAAGTTGCAGCTATAGGAAATACAATGGAAGATGTGGTTAGCTCCTCACTCCTGTTTAAAGCTAAGGTACTTCCAAGGTCTCGCAAGTTAGAACAAGGCCAACTAACGCTCTGTTTCTTTCCAGCTGCTAGCAAGTCCTGTGCTATCATGTCCACCCACATTGTGGCCTGCCTGCTCCTTTACAGACACAGGCAGGTACGTCCGGTGGGCCTGGTGGTCCTAGGAAGCCTGGGTGTGTGTCAGCCTGCTTTAGGCTGAGGCAGAGAGATGAACAGTGACAGAAGCAGAGCGTCCTGCCCAGAATTCACCAGCCCAGTGAGGGAAGAAGTTGCATGAGACTTAGCCAGACTGTAAATGTGTAGATAAGAAGGATGCTCGCTCCAGTGTGTAGTTAACTAAAGTAAGGCGTATTTCAATGACACACAGTATGCATTCTACTGGAGAAGTTCCAGGAAAGTTGCTCTGTATGTGAGAGCTGCCTCTGCCCTCCCATCATAGGCTTGTGGAGCTCTGCTGTGGGAGAGACTGTGTCTTTCATGTTCGTTGTCACGCTCTTGACACCAGACGTAGGGTCTGTATGTAGGCGCCAACTAAACATTCGGGAGCCGAGTGCTTCAAGCGGGTCCTCCCTGAGCACTGAGCACGACTCTCAGACTGTGTCGCCGTCCCTTGGTGGTCCCTTGTGCTCAGGGTTTGTGATGTGACATCTGCCCTGACATCCCTACCGCTCGCATTGCTGGTCTGGGCCTGTTGCTGTGCCCGCTGGACAGCCACAGTGGGAAGAAGATCTGGGAGATGAGACTTTCCGCCGTCACAGTCTGCTTTTGTCTCTTCGTAGGGTATCCACCTCTCCACATTGGTGGAAGACTTCTTTGTGATGAAGGAGGAGGTCCTAGCTCGTGACTTTGACCTGGGGTTCTCCGGGAATTCGGAAGATGTTGTCATGCACGCCATCCAGCTCCTGGGGAACTGTGTCACCATCACGCACACTAGCAGGAAGGACGAGTTCTTCATCACCCCCAGCACAACTGTCCCCGCAGTCTTCGAACTCAACTTCTACAGCAACGGGGTGCTTCATGTCTTCATCCTGGAAGCCATCATAGGTACGGTAGCCGGCAAGCGCCTTGTTGGAGGGGTGCACCGCTGCAGTTTGGTCCCCAGTGAAAGTGTTCCCAGCACTGCGTTCTTCACTGTGGAGCTGAGGTAGAGCTGTGGGCGGCAGGAGAACCGGAGCTGCTTACACAATGGGAGTCTGTGGAGTTTTGCTTACATTTCTGAGGCTTCTGCAGACTGTTAGTTTTTGTTAATAGGCTTTAATGGTAATAGAAGGACGACCTGGCACTGACGACCCTGCTGTCCCTCACTGTTCCTTGTGTTTCTTCAGCCTGCAGCCTGTATGCTGTTCTGAATAAGAGGGGCTCGGGAGGGTCTGCTGGTGGCACTGGCAGCTTGATCAGCCAGGAGCAGCTGGTGCGGAAGGCAGCCAGCCTGTGCTACCTTCTTTCCAACGAAGGCACCATCTCTCTGGTGAGTGAAGGCTCCGCCGTGCTCCCTGATCCTTTTGTATTGTTTGCATGAAGTACCTTTGCTTTTCTCTAGAGCGTGTTTGTCCTGTGTGCAGCTTTCTGGTCTACTCTGTCTCAGTGATGTAACATGAGGGCCGGCTTGTTGGGGTTTCTGTCCCGCCCAGTACCCCACAGCCAGCAAGCCCCAAGGAGAAAATCACACACAGGACTCCATAAGATTATAAACTGATTGGCCCATTAGGTCAGGCTTCTTGTTAACTCTTATAACTTATGTTACCCCATTATCCTTATCTACATTAGCCACATGGGCTCAGTACTTTCTCAGTGTGACAGCTTACATGTTGCCTCTTCGGTGGTCTGCGCAGGAATGGCAGAGGAACCTCCCTGCTTCCCAGAATTCTCCCGTTCTCATTGCATCACCTCTACTTCCTGTCTGGTTTTCCCGCCTATACTGCCTGCCTGGCCAATCAGCGTTTTATTAAAATATGATTGACAGAATACAGACAATTCTCCTGCATCACAGTGACTACTAGCCTAGCTTGGTCTTGACTGTTTTGGTTTGTCTGGCTGGGTGCTTAGTGCCCTGGCTCTGAGACACGAGAGACTACTGGCAGTTCAGACAGACCCCAAGTTACTGCTCATTGGCTGTGAAGAAGGTGCTGTGCTGGGTGTCAGTAAAGAGCACACCCACTTGTGGATGTTGGAACCCAGATGATAAATGGGTAGAGAACACTTCAGCTTACACACTCGGGCTCAGCAGTGTGAGTGTTTCCTTGTCACATCCTTACACCAGTCGGTGTTAAATTGAGGCTACGTAGTAAGCAGATTTTGGGTACTCAAAACCAAATAGAATCTGGTTTTGCACTGTGTTACTCTTTTTCTCTCATATGGCTCATGATTGGGACATTCACGAGTGTGTGCATTTTGAATGTGGTTGTCTTGAACATGTTCTTCATGTGTGTTTGGCAGGATCAGGAGGGGTGTGGGCAGATAGGGCTTCTAAAGTGGGCCTCTTGTCTATGTGTTTTCACGTTATTGGAGTGCCGTGTTTCTTGTTCATTACTCATGTGAACTCCTTCACTGTGAGATAGCTCCTGCATGGAGACTATCTTAAAGACAAAGGTTCCCCAAAGGCCCGGGAAGTGGGTCCCTCCAGGGCTCGTCCCACTCAGAGCACTGGGCTCCAAAGCTCTCTCCATAGGTGGGACCACATAAGTGCATGGCCATTTCTGGAAAGGACTCTTTTCTCTGGCTTGTGATGACCGTTTATCAAGACGTGGACATCAGAGATCCTGGGACTTTGTCAGGGTGGAGGAGGCGGTGGAGCGGAGGGGCTGACAGCTACTCTGTGGCCTCCAAGGGAAGGGGAGGCCGACTCACCTTTAAATGATTTTCTTTCCAGCCCTGCCAGACTTTTTACCAAGTCTGTCACGAGACGGTGGGAAAGTTCATCCAGTATGGCCTTCTCACAGTGGCAGAGGTGAGAGCCCCGCCTGGGTTTGCTTTGTAACTGCTTGCTCTTTGTTTTCCTTTCCTACCGATTAGTTATTTAAACTAGTGTTTCTGCCGCTTACCTTAGCTACTGAAATACATTTGCTGTATGTATTTATGTCCAGATGATAGAAAAGGACAGTAAGAACGGGACACAAGGGTCTTGGGATTGTTTACTATTTTGATTTCTTTTATAAGTTGTATTTTCTAAATTAAAACAATACTTTGATTTGATTCTCTGACATCCGGAAGTTGGTTCTGGGATGCAACAGGGCATATCATTTGTAGCTTATGCGTAATGCATTTTTATCTTTTGAGATTCCGGGTCTGCTCTGATAGATTCAGTGTCCTTCAGAGGGACTGGGAAGGCATGTCTGTTCCGAGAGTGTAGCTCTCCCCCACCCTCCATCTGTCCTCCCCTGCTGCCTCCTAAGGTTGGAAGCATGCGCAGCAGGGAAGGATGAGGCAGGCTCTGAGAAGAGATTGCTTTGTCGGGGTTGATGGGTGCTTGGTTGTGTGCCTCGGCATGTGTTCTTACTGTCAGCCGTCCTCCTGATACAGCAGGATGACCAGGAAGATGTCAGTCCTGGCCTTGCAGAGCAGCAGTGGGACAAGAAGCTTCCAGAACCTCTGAACTGGAGAAGTGACGAGGAAGATGAAGACAGTGATTTTGGTGAGGAGCAGCGAGATTGCTATCTGAAGGTACTTTGGTGAAGGATTCTGGGTGTACAACAGCGAAGCTGGATAACAGGGATGGTGACTAACTCAGGTCCAAAGTACTTGTGGGCCAGCGCTAGCCACTCTGGTACCTTTCACTGAGTAAAGTCATTTAAGTTAATGCCTTGTGTTGTCAAGTTTGGGGACTGGTAAGTGGAAAGGGAATGGTATTTGAAGAGCTAGGACGAAGAAAGGAGGTGACTTTCAGCACCTCCAGGAGATGCTTGGGTGGTGTCCAAATGACACTTAGGCACGCCCTCTCTTTCCATTTGGGTCTTACTAGTTTCCTGTCTTGCTTCATGCACAGGAAAATATAGTTGCTGTTCCCTGCGTTTTGCGTGCATGAGTGGCTGTTGTGCTTGGATTGCAAACCTGTAGGGCTCAGCCCCTAGTCTAGCTGTTTTCAGCAATGAGATCCTGTCAGTTGATTGGGACGATTCCCCTAGATGCCTGCTGAGTGGACCCAGCCCTCAGGTGCTACGGAAGGAATGAGCGCACTGAGGAGCACGCGGTGCTCGGCTGCTCTTCCCTGGTTAACCTGAGTGCACTGAGGAGCACGCGGCTGCTCTTCCCTGGCTAACCTGCGCTGGGGCGGCCGGCTGCTTTCATGCAGTGCTGGCAGGAGGGGCATCTTCAGGAAGCAGCTGGCCCTGCTTTCCTGTCCCTTCTTGTGTCCTCACCTCCTCCCTCACCCTCTCAGGTGAGCCAGTCCAAGGAGCACCAGCAGTTCATCAGCTTCCTGCAGAGGCTCCTGGGGCCCTTGCTAGAGGCCTACAGCTCTGCCGCCATCTTCGTCCACAACTTCAGTGGTCCAGTGCCCGAGTCTGAGTACCTGCAGAAGCTGCACAGGTACCTTCTCACCAGGACAGAAAGGGATGTCGCAGTCTATGGTATGTGGAGCCACTGTTTTGACTTCTTTAGAACTGTTGCCCTATTATATAAATATGTTAATTTTGGGAAATTGGAGACAATGCAGAGTTATGCTGACCTCATTCCTTAGACCTGCCGTGGTGTGTCATACAAATTAAGTGGTACAGTTGTGTATTCTCTGACTGCTTTTTTGCAGTTAACATGATGTGTGAGGTTCATCCATGTTGCCTGTGGTTCTGTCTGCTGTGTAGTCTGTCACTGTACACGTGCCACTCCCTTTCATTTTGCTTGCTGGGTGCTGGGCCATTGGCAGTGGAGAGCTCTGCACCCGTCTGCATCCAGGTGGTCAGTCACCACAGCTGAGTGCGTGCCCTTGGCGTGTTTACAGGACAGTCAGCATCAGGGCCAGAGGGAGGTAGAGATGGTTGATCCCGCCATGCCTCTTAGGGACACCTGTCCTGGGCCCTTGGCAAGGTAGTGGCAAACGTGGGTTAGAATTCTTGTTTCCTGATCTCTGGACTTGAGCTTCACGTGTGGCTGTGGGCCTCAGGAGCACCCCCACATCACTGTTATTTTTTAAATAGTTTTATAGACCATTGTGTTTGATTCTCACCAACCCTGTGAGGCGGACGCTCTGCGTATCTTCCCTCTCCCCTCTGACTCTATTCTCTGTTTTCCTTCGTAGAAATCGAATAGGTTTAAGGAGCTAATAAGTAGGTCATTTGAAGGAGGCTGTGGGAGTCGCCAGTAGCAGTAGGGAGCTTGCTCCAATCTGGACTTCTGCTTTCGCACTCTGTAGCCTCCAGTGTTGGCTTGTGTGTGCGGAGCTGGAACACTGACAGGGCCTTGTTGTTTCTCTGCAGCGGAGAGTGCCACCTACTGTCTTGTGAAGAACGCTGTGAAAATGTTTAAGGATATCGGGGTATGTGTCCATGACCGTGCTGCCCTTTGTTCCTGTGTCTCCAATCTGTCGCTCTCCTCTGTGGGGTCCAGAAGAAACATTTTCTGCTGGACTAATGGGGACTGCATCTCCTAGTGGGAGGGTTGGGGCAGGACATGTCGAAGGCGTGTTTGGTTCTGCAGGGTTCACATTCATCTCCAAACTAGAAGTAAAGAGTCATTGTGCAAGTTCTGTGTTAACTGCTCCATAGTCTGTTATCTTCTTGCTTGTTTACCAGCTTTGCTAACATTAGCCTCAGGTTGCTTTGCCTTCATGTATGATGAGCTCTGCCGAGCTGCACGTCACCTTTGATAAGGCTTTGTTTCTGACTTTAGTTGTGAAAGCCAAGGCACTGACTGAACTTCCCCAGAAACCCCGTCTCACGCTTCTGGGCATGCGTCAGACCCCCAAACGTACAGTGCTAACATGGAACACTCACACCTCCACGCCACGTTTCTGTGGAGCACCTGCAGCTTTCTGTCTTTCCGGGTCTCGGACATATGTCTGCGGCCGCTAACAGAATGCCACCTCATCCCATTCCTTTCTTGACTTGTGTTTTCTCTTACCTCTCTCTTCAGGTTTTCAAAGAGACCAAGCAGAAGAGAGTCTCTGTTTTAGAACTGAGCGGCACTTTCCTACCTCAGTGCAACCGGCAGAAACTCCTGGAGTACATTCTGAGTTTCGTGGTGCTGTAGGGCTCTCTTGGCACCTACGGCGAGGGAGGGGCCGCTGGCAAGGGAGTCTCTCGCAGGCTCCAGTCTGACCCAGAGCGGCAGGTGTCCTGGTGTGGCCCGCCAGCCTTACCCGAGGAGACCTTCAGGAAGCTGCGTGCCTTCTGCCCACCCCGTGGATCTGCGCTCTGCCCAACATTGTTGCAGTGGCCTGCGCGGAGCATTCGGGGCCAGTGCCATGTGTGATTCATGATCTCTAGGTCACTAGGTGAAATCTCAGTAAGTTATTTTGGAGTTTATTAAAGATTCACATTTTAAGTTTGACTTTTAAGGACTAGTTACTGTGATGGACATAGAGGTGCCTGTAGAACTGAGTCTTGTACAGTATGTAATAATGTTTCCTTTAAAGTAATTGGGTCCATTCTCCGTCTCCATCGTACCATCTTACCGCTGTGAGCAGAGCTCTGGTGTGCATGAGAGCGCTTTCCTCTCACGTGCTTTACTAAGGAATGACTCTGCCCTGGGCTGGCAGTCTCAACGTGCGTTTGAATGGCTGCCTGGAAGCAGACGATACTACGTAAGGCAGGAAGTGAGGTATGGTGACCAAAGGGCCAGTGCCATGAGGTAAATCTGGTTGGCAAGGTGAAGCCACGCTTGGCCAGGAAAGTGGCACGGGCGGCTTTGTTCACTGACAGAGTGCCATGGAGTGAATGTCCAGCGAGTGTTCAGAACCGCTGCTGTTTGAGAACTGTGCCCTTTCCCCTTTAAGGGTGGGCATCTGCTGCTTCTTAGGGGCCTCCAGCCAGTCAGCTCTGTGCTGGTTGTCGCGCGGCTAGAGGGGTGGCTGGCTGGAGGGACACTGCCTGCCCACTGCTGGCCTAGGGTTTCCAGACACTGCTCCCTGGGTGCTGCTCCCCGGTCTGGACGACTAGGACTCAGATGGCGTACACAGGGACCCTGCAGAGTGGTAGATGGCTGCAGGTCTTTGTAGATTTTAAGCTCTGAGAAGAAGTCTTGGTTCTTTAGACATTTGTATGGGCTACACACCCAAACTCCATTGCCACTTAAAGGCAAATAATTATGAAAATTTTCTGTTTTCAAGGGGTAGGTGCCTTTTTGAGAGCAAGGAGCATAATTGTTAGTTATTTGTGGTAATTTTGGTGGTTTCTTAATGATCATGTGACAATACAATTTCTAGCAATCTACTGTCCATATCTCTATGATTTTATGGAATAGGAATTTTTCTGATGAGTGTTCCATAGATAATTTGAATTTATAAAAGTATTAGGGATGAGACTTGTACTTTCCTGAACTTGAATTTTAAACATTAATAGTATCCTTCGAGAGACGTGTGTGTTTGGGGGGATGGGATCCTGCCTGGCATCACACAGTGCATGAATGGCTGGTTTGGAGCTCAGAGAATAATGCTGTGCTGTGCTGGTCTCCACCCTTCGCAGTTGTGCATGTCAGATCTCCCTTCCCTCTGCATCAGCTCCCTGTCCATTGTAGCCGTGGGTGTGGAGTGAGATGCTCACCGTGAGCCTTCCGTGTTGTTATTGAGGGTGAACTGGCCCTTCCTCAGTTGTACTTGGAGGATACCCAGAGAGTCTGGCTTACTCCCTTGGGGACACCCTTCTGGGGACTCAAGCATTTTGCTGAAGGTAACTGCAAAGCTGTGGACCTGACCTCCCAGTGGGCGCTGCTGCTCTGCCTGGCACCTGCGAACAACTTCTGCAACTTCTGCAGCCTGCACAGAGAAGCACGCGCTTCCCTTGCTGTGGCCTCCCTTTCGGTCAGTTTCATTTTAGGGGCTTCAGTTGCCAGACTTAACTGTTGCCAGACTTAACTCACTGTGAGATATGTGTGCATGCTTTTTGTAATTAACTGGTGCTTTGAAACCTTTTTTTACGGAGGAAAAATCTCAACCAAAGTTATGCTTATCCCAACAAGCTGACCCTTGAGTTAATTTAGCACAACTCATTCTTCAGTGCCTCGTTAGGAAAAGAAAAGACATCACAATAAGACTTGCAGGTATCCTGTTCGCTAATAGAGACAGTCCCCTTGTTTTCCAGCAGTGGGTGGCTTCCTCGGAAGATTAAACAAACTCGGTGCTTGTATATAATTTACTACCGTTTACTCTATTGCATTTCTGTCCAACTGAAATGCGTGCCCTTCAGGGGAAGACTGTGAGTCAAGTTAAATAAACAAAAACCTAATACTAAGCAATATGAAGCTGCACTTCTTTTTAACTGAGGCTAACCCAAGTAAATCAGAAAGGGGAGGGAGGAGTATTTGCTTTTGTGATCCTATTGAACCAAGTGCTAAGGTGAGTGCAGCCAGGGTGCATGTGCTGTGCCCTTCTTGGTTCTGCTGAACCTTGGCCATCATGAGGGTGAGTGCAGAAAGTAGATCTGGGGTGTTAGCGAGCGGGAGCTCAGACAGGAGCTTCCTGCACCATGTTTCCCACAGTGTTCTGAGATGTGTGTCTGGGTTCTGGGGTACGTGGGACACCACAGCACACTGAGGTGCTGCAAGGGTTCTACATTCGGCCTGCTGAACCTAGGATTTCCTAAACTGTTCTGACCTCAGGACCTCTCTCCCCTCTGGGATGCCTCACTGCATGCCATGGAAAACATTAATTAGTTCTTTAAGCAGACCAGTTGGTCACAGACAGTGGCGCCAAGGCAGAATTTGCAGACTTTTGTTATCATCCACGCTGCACCGAGTGAGGACGTTATTTTTCCTTGCTGGAAAGCGGAAGCACAGAACATTGGCTCGGGTGCGTTCCTTTGATGGAATCAGCTACCCACGGCCCTGGCCTTTTAAACTGAAAATAGCAGAATTAATGCAAGGATAAATTGGGGTAAATAATAAAGGATTAAATTCAGATCTACAAGAAAACACTGCACAATTGAATGCAGATTTTTATCCATAGATAACTAGTGTTTTGAAATGATAGACTCTATCTTTGACATTTATAAGACTTACTATGGGATGTAAATCTGTTTTTTAACACTTTTTAGGAGCTTGAGAGTTGCCATCTGGCATTTAGTTTAGTACAAGCAATGACTGCTTCTCGAGACTCTGGACCTTCCTTCCCAACAGCTAAAGGGCTAATTGTCTCTATGGAAGGTGTTTGTTACAGTATTTGCCTATTGTACAACGTACAGGAGATTGTTCTGGAAAGAATTACTACTGTAGAATAGCATTGTATGATTCTGTGAGTGGCACTGCCTTGGAAATGTTGGCTGATTTTTATGCCTGATGATGGTGTATCCTGAGAAGCATGGAAATGGATTTTGTTTTAATAAACCAGAAAAATAAAAAAACCCCAACCTGTTGTGGGACGTTATTTTTACTGTGTTACATTTGTTTCTGCTGCTTTTGTTAACAATGCAAAGATGTGTTATATTTGTTTGATTAAATAAAATTAATCAGGAGGCTGAGTCAGCAACTAGTTGACAGGAAGTGGTAGGGGGGAAGGAAGTGTAGCAAGATTCCTCAGTGGGGACTGAGCAGAAGGGAGCCCCCTTTTCCCGGAGACCCGAGCAAGGAGAGAAGTTCACTGTTTATTCAGCCTCTGGGAGTGAGCAGGATTTCACCTCACCTGAGTTCTATAGAAGGATGGAGATCTAGGTAAAGTTTAGCAGCTGTGGTAGAGCCGGTGCCTGGGGAAACAATTCCTGCCTGGCTGCTGGTAGCTGCTGAGTTGCAGTTGCCGCTTGAAACAGTTGCTGAAGGTGCAGCCACTGTCTTGCAACAACCAAAACCCCCAACTTATTTTTAATGTCTTGGATTTATTGCTGAGAGTTATTCAGTGTATGATGCTTGCTTGACTTCATATAGAACTTTATTGAAATGCTGGGATTGTAACCTGAGATCAACTTGTGAGTCTCCCAGCCCTGATTCTTTCGGCTTATATCCCTTCAGCCTTGATGACAACCGTGGAGATGGGGCTGCCTGCACACATCGCAGAGGTCCTCTCGGTCGCAGTCGATCCCGCCAGTGCGCCTTTATTCACCTCTCATGAACGTTTAACTTTACAGAAGTACAGCAACGTCCTAGGCTTCTCCCCTAGCTCATAGTAATTGCTCAACATTAGCTTACTTTTTATTTAAGAATAAAATATTTCCTTCATGAGAATTCAGATATTTTGTAGCTCCTCTGAGTGCACCCAGTGGTAGCTGCCCAGACCTGTATCTGGAGATGGTAGCGGTCACATGTATGACAACGATGTACCTCCCTTTTGAGTGCCCGGTGTGGCTTCCAACTCTGGATTCAGAAGTTTTTTAACATCTGCAGTGACTTTGCAGCCTCGTGTGTTCAGCAAGGACATTCCCTTCCACAGAAGGCATGGAGTTGACTTGATTTGGGAAAGTATGTCTAACATGGACAATGGAAAACAGCTATTGTGGTTAGCTTGGAATTCAGTTTTTCATTTCCAACGTCTGCATTTGAATGTCTCTCTATGAAAATATATTTTGCTTTTTTATTTATTCACTCAGGGTCACCTTTAGTGATTGGTTCTTGTTGCTGTTTTAATAATAATAAAATCTTAGCACCCAGAAGATAATTTTACAAAACATTGAGGCTGAAAGTGATAGAAATGTCATTTGGGGGTAAGAGAAATCAATCAATGGGTAACAGTATGTCCTGTTTACATCTTGTCAACTTGATACAACCTGGGAAGAGAGAGCCTCAGGAGAAGAATTGCCTCTACCAGATTAGCCTGTGGCTGTGTCTGAGGATTTGTCCTGGATGATGACTGATGAGCAAGTGAACCCAGCCCACTGTGTGGCACTGGAAGTGGTTCTGGACCCTGTAAGAAAGCTATTAACAAACAAGCCAGCGGGAGATAGTCAGCAGCCTCCACCTGTTGGTTCCTCCTCCAGTTCCTGCCCTGGCTCTCAGCCATGGACGGTGACTGGAAGAATCTGCTGAAACAAACCCTTTCTTCTCCAAGTCGTTTTTGGTCAGAGTGTTTTATCCTAACAGGATGAAACTAGAATCGAGTGCTGTGTGCAGCCGTGGGGATCTACCTGAGCTGGGATCTCAGCTGGTGTAAAAAGCCAGGCATGGCTGCAAATGCCTGTGACCCATCGCTGTAGAGGGTGGAGTCAGGAAGATCACTTATCCTTGCTGACTTTATAGTCTAGCTCCTGGTTCAGTGAAGACCTCAGCTCAACGAAGTAAGGTAGACAGCAGGACACCCAAGGTCCTCCCCTGGCCTCCACATGTGCTCATCTGCACATTGCTCATATTCCATACATGTCCACCACATGCACAGACATACAAAAGGGAGTGTTTGGATCTCACGGCTCTGAGGAGTCAGAATATGGTGGACACTGACCATGGAGTCTCTGTAGCCAAACCAAGTGCCACAGACAGGTTGCAGCTTACATGATGTGTTCTGGATGGAGCACCGTCAAGAAATTAACTGTAAAAACTGCAAAACAGGATTGAGTGCTTTGCTACCTAAGGTAATTCCCTGGCAAGGTCTTTGGTCATATGAACCTCAACACATATGCAAATTAGTTAATTCTTACATGGCTTTGGGCACATGCTTGAATTCACCCTTTTATAAGTGGGCCTAACAGAAGTAACTGGCAGATGAGGCCATGAAGTGTCCTGGAAATATAACTCATTCTCAGCTTGACGATGGGCTTCTTTATTGTACCAGGTTTTCCTGAGGCAGGTTTTTTCAGTGGATTCAGAAGGTCTCTGACCTATTTCTGCTTAGCTACCATGACAGTCACCTGTGGGAGCTCCTGTGGGAGGTGTCCCACCCATCTCTTCCTGAATCTGTCGGGGATACTCTTAGACTGTGCCCAAGTGCTGGTGAGCCAACAGCTCATTTATGACCTTCAGTTTCTAAGGTGGGACCGATCAGTGTCTCCCAGTCTCTGCCTCTAGCTTCTTTGCCTCTGAGGAACATTCTGAAGGTCCAGGTGCTAGTGGGCTTCTGTTGCCCCTGCAGCAACCTGCTCAACACTCCTTTCTTGCCTTCCCTCTCTCTCCTTTGGTCAGCCCCCTGCTGCTCCCTCCTGGCATCAGCTGGCACAGAGATGACTTGCTGCTGAGCACCTGTCTTTTGTCTGGTTCTAGAGAACCAGGTAAAGATGGCATTCTTTGCTCTTCTTTAGGCAGTGCTGAGCTGTGAACCTATTTCAAGAGTTGGCACTCACCAAGACTGAAGTTGGACAGTCAAGAATATCATGTATGTGCGTATGGATATTTATGTACCATACCTGAAGGGATCTCGGAGGCTAGAACAGGGTGTTGGGTCCCCTGGAACTGGACTCACCAACAGATGTGAGCCACAGTATTGGTGCTGAGATCCTGTAGGATTTCCTACTGCCAGTAGCCTTTAAATTACCCATGGGCCTCTTATATTATTTATGCTGATGTAGAGCGCACATCTGGCCTCTTTTCTGGCTGCGGGATTTGGTTGCTGTTCCCTGTCCCAGCAGAGGATTGTGATCTGTGATTCTACCCCTAAATAAATGACCCTGTATTCTACTCAATTCTGAGCTAGTGTGGGATTTCTTCTAAGCGTCCTTCCTCTGGCTCCCCACATGGATCAGAACTTCACACCTACCGATGGATTGGTTTAAAGGCCTCAATGGTCCACAGCCGTGAGTCCTCTAGATCAGTCAGTGCTCTTAAACACTGAGCCATCTCTCCAGCACCCCCAAACATTTTGGATGAACAATATGAGAGCCTCATGAGAGGATAGTGTTGGAGAATGGCCCCTCTGTTGTTCCTTTGAGAAGGGTCTAGCTACAATGATTGAAGATGTCAAAACTGGGGAGGTCAGTGTCCAGGAAGCACCAGTACTATGCAGAGCCAGCCTTCCGAGCATGTGGTGATCATACAAGTGTTGAGTCCTGCCCTCACTCTGGAGAAGCACTGTACCTCCGAAGGGACAAGGGCCACACCCAAGAAACACTTCCCAAGGACTCTGCTTTTGGATGAGGTGGTTCCAGAGCCTGCCGGGCTGCTGTGGAGATGAGGGCATGACTGGGGTTCTCACCCAGCAGACACTTCCTTTCACTGGGTCTGGAAGGAAGGGGAAGAACAGAGAGCTGAGATGGGAACCTTTCAAAACTTCACCTGCTGATCCAATCTGACAAACTATTAAGTGGTGTGTGCAGACAGAGATGTCACCCCGTTCACTCTGGTGACTTGGAGGCTCCGGGTGCATCTACTTGCACTTGACTTTCGAAGCAACTGGAATAAATTTTCTAAGCTGTTGGAAATCTTTTTTTTTTTTGTAAACCTCTGGCTGTGGTTAAAGTTGTTAGATCTACACTCCTAGGTGGAGTTGGGGTTTGGTGGGGGACAGAGAGCCTTTCTGTTGCTGCGTTTGCCCATCCCCTGTGTCTAGGGTCATTCGATCACTGGGCCTGTGCAGTTGTTTGGTTTTCTAAAACAGACAGTGGTGTCTCTGAGTGCACACATCTTTAAAACGAAGGACAGCAGACCTTTTGAGTGGGCAGATGGAGGAATTTGATTTTTTCTGGGCACAAACTGGCAGCCAGTCTCTGAGCTGCCAGCTGTGCAGGCAGAATCGGCTGCTCCCCGTTGTACAGATGAAGAAGTGGAGAGAGCTGGGCGAAATTCTTCAGCACAAACTCTTCAGCTTCTTCAGGGAAGCTGGCGGCAAGAGGGCCGAACCTCAGATCTCTCCAGCCTTGGCCTTCTCTGTGGATGTTTGGATTGCAGGATTTAGTGTGGTAAATCTCATCTGGGGCGGGTCAAGAGGAGGGGTAGAATGGAGACGCACTAGGACACAGAAAGTTAGTATTTCCTTCAAAACGTGAAGCCCCGTGCCAGGACCGAGGTCGGGGCAGAGGGGCCGAAGCTGCGGCTGTGTGTATATGTGGGAATCCCAGCATCACCACTGCCTGCGATCAACAGCCGGTCTCACTGTTGGGACCTCAGCGAGAGGAAATGATGACCACCGCGAGGAAAGTCACGGGTGAGTGCCTTTTTGTTGCTTTCTTTTGGCATGGAGTCTAAATTGCCAACAGGAAATTTTGAACCCATAGAAATTGGCGCCCGCATCCGGAGCCACCACCCCATCTGCAGCAGCTTCAGGTGTAGCCGTCTTTGTTTGTATGATATTGTGACCAAAGCTTTGCTGCTCAGTGGCACAACTTGGTTGAGGCTGACTCGGTTCAAGTTCCAGCTCCACACCGACCAACCACTGGGTCTTGCGCCTGTTTTCTGACGACCTGCCTTCCTCTAATAGGTGACAGCAGGAAGGAGCAAACGCTCTCGAAGCTCTCTGCTCCAGCCTGGCTTGTGGCTGCTTTACAAAGGTTAGCTCAGCTCAGGGTCTCTTCATCG